AGAAAGAAAGAAAGAAAGAAAGAAAGAAAGAAAGAAAGAAAGAGTGGGTGAACAAGCCAGCCAGCCAGCCAGCAAAAAGGTCTGGCACCCCTACTCACTACCGATGTCAACTAACACTAACCTATTCAGAGTTAACCAGGGCATTTAAACAACATGCAGCTCTTTGCCACCACTTGTCTACTTTGCATCCTCCTTGCCTTCCTCTTCTGCATCTCCTTCGCCACCAATAGCCCCATACCTCCCTTTCCCACCTTGGCACCATGACACCTCTGTGTTGATCTGAGGTCACCTCTGCCACAACTTAAACCCACCTCTTCTGACTCTTTTCTGCTTCATAGTTCATTTCAGATCCCACAAAAACCATCTGAGTGGTATGACAGAATCACAGAATCTTAGAGCTAGAAGGGGCTGCAAGGGGAACAAAGTTATTGACTTCCAGGGGCGCAAGTTCCTTTTTGGACATTGCTTCGTAATCCCACACTTCTGGGGAGTCAAGTTCATTTCACTTTGGCCTTAGAACAGGTGGCTGCTCTGTTCTCGCTCATCTCATATCCTCCCTGGAGCACAGCAGCCATGTGAAAGAAGCCAAGGCAAAGGGTGGCTGGGCCTGCGTATTACCTTTCTATCCACTTCAGCTGCAAGCTGGTGGGAAGAAGCAGGAGAAAAGTCTTCTCTCCCCTTCTGGTGCCTCTTAGGGAAAGCGTAATTGTTAATGGTTCAATGTTCAGGTATTATTATTTATTTATTTGAGTTTTAAATCTTGACATAAAACTTGGGGGTCCATGGCAACAAAATATATTTAAAGAGGGTCCCTGGTAAAGAAAAGGTTAAGAACCAGTGCTCTAGGCAATTTCTAAAACCCAGTATGGTGTAATGATTTGAGTGCTGGACTAGGACTCTAGTAGACCAGGATTCAAATTCCACCCACCCCAAGTCATGGACACCCCCTCTAAACATATCTTGCCAAAAATAAATACCCCATGACGGATTCACCTTTGGGTCACCATTTGTCAGAAACAACTTGAAAGCAAACAACAACAACAAGGCAATGTCCTGTGTAGAAATGTGAAGACCCAAATAAAAATTGGGGGGAAACATTTTTGTCTGTTTTTCCTGAATCATGTGGGCTTTGGCATGGCAGAGGAGATTGCAATCTCGGGCCATGTCAGACCCCCCAATGGCCTTGCAGAGGCCACAGCAGTCTGCCCCTCCACTGCCTCCCCTACACTGGGTGACACCAACTCTAGGGACGCCACTGCTTGCAGCATAATACTAAGAATAGGAGTAAGAAATGCATAACCATCCAGTTGTTGTTGTATTATACCTTCCATCACCCCTCACCACTAGTTCTGCTTGCTAGGGCTCATGGGAGGTACAGTTTGACAATATGTGGAGGGGCATCCCTGGTTAAGAGTCCTTAATTGACTTGCATCCACTGATACAACCCTCTGAAGTCTGGTGGGTTTTGGCTAGGATAAGAGCCTTCTTTGTGGTGGCTATGATATAGTGTAACTCCCTGTCACAAAGAGTGTTTCTCACTTTTTCCTGATCATTTTGAGACAACGTACCTAGTGATCCATTTCTGAAAAGCCCCATAACAGCAGTAGGGAAGATTTTGGCAGAGGTTGTTGGACTACAACTCTCATCAGTCCTTGATACATTGTTATAAACAATGATGGCCAGCAACATCAAGGAGGACATGTATTGTTTACCCCATTTTTAAAGTACTATGACTACTCTTTGGTAGTTGTTTTTGACCCCTTTTGTTTTATGATTGATTTCACATTCTCTTTCAATTTTGTTTTATTATACCTATAAACCAGCTTGGAAATTTTTGTTTTAGTGTCAAAAGGCAGTCCATCGATATTTTTAATAAATTAATCACAATTTCCTGGATTATTGCTAGCCTTAAGGCATGAGGACCTTCAGCTGGATAGCCATCATTGCATTGTCAGATCAAAAAGAGCTTGTTGTTGTTTAGTGGTTTCAAGTTGTTTCCAACTTATGGTAACCATAAGGCAAACCCTAAGGGGTCTTCTTGGCAATGTTTGTTCAGAGGAGGTTTGCTGTTGCCTTCCTCTGGGGCCGAGAGTATGTGACTTGCCCAAGGTCATTCAGTGGATTTCATGGCTGAGCTGGGAATCAAACCCTGGTCTCCAGAGTTGTAGTCCAACACTCAAACCACTAGGCCACACTGGCTCTTCAAGAAGAGCTATATTTGCTCAATTCTGGCTTGTCATAAAGCTATTAAAAGCTAATTGAAAATACTTGATAATGTACAGATCCATCACATCAAAGTACTGAAAGTGAATTGAGATTGTTTCCATTGACCTCAGAGGATTTAATACAGTCCTAAACACACCTCAGAGGAAGCCTTGCTCAACACAGTGAGTCTTCCTTTTGAGTAAACATGGTGTTGTAAATAATCTTAAATCAAAGTTGCTCAGTTCAAAAGATCCAGACTAGTAATCTATGGGATGCGTGGGAGCTTTTGTGTGTCTTTCTTCAAAAGAGAAGGTGGGGAGGGAGAATAAAAGATTTAGTTTTAATTTAATTTTAATTTTAATTTAGTTTTCAAAGATGTATCTGCACCATCTGCTGGTTACATTTGAAAATGCATCCCCCTGTTTACTTACTGTACTTTCAAATATGAATAGTGGAGGCTGTGCTATGGTATCCTGACCTCGGAGCAAGGCTGATTTAAATCAGTGGGTTGTACAGTATTTCTGAAAAAGAGATGCATAGATACTTACATTATATATTTGTTGTTGTTAACTGCCTTTGCATCAATCTTGACTCATGGCAACCCTATGGATGAGACATTTCCACGCCCCCCCCCCCCATCCTCTACTGCTCTGCCCAGTTCCTGCAAACTCATATTCATGGTCTCTTTAATAAAGTCCATCCATCTAGCATGTGGCCTTCCTCTCTTGCTGCTTCCCTCTATGAACTAAAACTCCCATGAACCCTTGACAACATAGACAATGGTTGAGGGATGATGGGAGTTGCAGTCCAACAACACCTGGAGGGCCACGCATCCTACAATCTTCATTCATATATTGCAGTGTTTTCTCTGTATGTGGGATCTGGAATGCAAACTATGACTGCAGAACTATCTCCACTTACAAAACTCTCAGCAACAAGCCTGTCCTGTTCCTTCCTTTTAAAGTGCCACATGTGTTGATTATACAAAAGATTTGTTGTATTTGTTAATTGCCTTCAAGTGAACTCATGGCGACCCTGTGAATTTTCACTTTGGCAACCCGACCCATCCCAGTTAACAGGAAAAATTAATTCTCTGGCAACTGAGTTTGGCAAACTATTTTTTTCTGAATGAATATGACACGCTGAACCCATCTGAATCCCAAAGCATTATCCTACTACAGCTCAGATATGTAGCTTGGCCATGTGGTTATTATACTAATTCCTCTTTAAAAAGTAAAATGTAACGAAGTAACCTTAAGTGAGCATCTACACTGTAGAAATAATGGAATTGGACACCATTTTAAAGGCTATAGCGCCATCCTACAGGGATCCTGGATTTGTAGTTTTCTACAAGGATGATGATGATGATGATTTAATTATACCTTGCTCTTTAGAAATACTCTCAGAGTGGCTTATACATTGTTAATTAGACAGTTCCCAGACTTTATGAATAGCCATAGAAATTCAAAACTTGTGGGTATGGAGATGAGATGACAAGTTCAGTTTTACAGCTGTGGCCCTTGAAGGATAGAGAGCTAGTGCGGAGCAGCGGTTTGAGTGTTGAACTATATATGATTCTGGAGGCCAGGGTTCAAATCCCAGCTTGGCCATGGAAAACCCACTAGGTGGCCTTGGGCAAGTTGCACTCTCTCAGCCTCAAGGGAAGGCAATGGCAAACCACCTCTGGAGAAACCGTGCTAAGAAAACCCTATGATCGGTGTGCCTTAAGGTCGCCATAAGTCAGAAATGACTTGAAGGCCCACAACAACAACCACAACAATTTCTCCATTAGTAGTAGTACTCTCTGGAGAAGGCCCCTGGCAGACCTTAGGGTCGCCATAAGAAGCCATACAACGACGACGAGGGCAGAGGGCTCCACAACAAGCAAGCTCCATTCCTCAGCCTGACGGTGGTGGTGGTGGTG